CGTTTCTGCAGGTTGTTCGCAACCTTGAGATACTCGGCACGCAACCGACGAAGACAAGGATTTGAGTGCAATATAAATTGAAATGTCACGAAAAATATGAAACAGAAATTATAAAAAGCACAAGGAGAAAAAAATCAACACATTAAATAAATTAATTGCAATTTAAATGCAAATTAAATGCAATTTGAAGAAAAAAAATTATATAATAATTATAATAAATGTCATATATATTAATTATATTATTTAAAAATAAGAGAACTTTCTAACTATGACAGGTACGTCGGAAAGAGCAGAGATAAATCATCGGGGGATAAAGATTAATATGCGCTGCAAGTCCTTAATTCGTCGGTATTCATGCCTAGGACTGTTAATTCGCAATTGATCGTGATGGTATTTCTCTGGCAAGAAAGACGATTAACGCGATCGTACGGCATTAATGACAGCGGTTTACACGCGAGGTATCCGATACGTGATCTCTTGACTCACTGCTTCGGGTATCTACTTCCTTACATCTGCTGCCTGCGTCTCGTGCGATCTCTGACGATCTACCGCGTTATCATTAAATTCGCGTCGTTGTTCCCCGACAATCTCCGCGCGATGAAAGATAATACCGAGTTTAATATCAGATTTAACGATTCGAAATTAAATGAGACGCGCGAAATTCCCTGACTTTTTTGAGTATTATTTTTTTCAAATATATAATTTGCGTATATCTATATGATAAATCAATTCAATGTTAAATTAAAACAAAAATTTTAATCAATTATACAATCTGCATTATGTACGATAGTCGAAACGAACATGTAACCATAAACTTTAATCATCTTTTTTTATTTATATTAATATCAAATTTTTTAGTTTTGTCTCTATCAAACACATTGAAATAAAATAACACGACGATGAAAATATAAATTAACGAATCGATTTTTAACAACACAGAAAATTAGCGTGCTGGGAGTCACGGAAAAGTTTATATTCATTTCATAAAAAATGTCAAATTAGCGAGACAAATGTATAGAATAATTCGAAAAAATCCAGATAAATAGTAAATTTCCCTGACTTTTTTTCTCTGACAATTCCAGATATTTATAAAATTCCCTGACCGCCAGACACCCTGTAAATTTCTTATGCAGCGATAGAGCTACTTTTTCCACAATCCGCGTTATATCTCCGGGCGATTTCCGTGCGACGTCCATTAGTGATCTAACGAAGATCGCAGCGCGAAGCGTATTACACCTCGTTACACAGACACACACACACACACGTATGCAGCGATGGAGCGGGCGGGTTAAGACTCTGCGAGCACGCGACGATCCAGGAAACGCCAACAGGCGGGATAATGCGGACGACACAAGGGGCCCTTAACAAGCTTGGACGAGAGGCACATGCGCGAACGCAACGTTGCACCCAACTAGGCTGACTTCTCGAGACCGCCCGCATTGAAGGGAAACGAAGAGAGGGAAAAATGAAGAAAAAGGGGTACGAGGGAGGATAAGAAACACACACTTCACACCGGTGTAATAAGAAATGCGGTACGATCTCTAATGCGCCGATTTGGGCCGCGACTTTTTATCGCAGAGTGCAAAGTCTCCCCTTCATTTTAGACTATCATTTCCGAGCGACAGATCACTTTTGATTAATAAAAAATTGTTGTGGCATCAACGAATTTATATACGTGTTTTATCTTTTACTAATTTTATTATTTAATTTCAAAGTATATAATGCTAGAATATAATTTTTAAGAAGACAGGTAATAGGAAATAGAACTTTATGAAGAATAAGTTCTATTAAAGTTCGATATATTAATTGAAAATATTTAATTTCAAAGTATATAATGCTAGAATATCATTTTTAAGAAGATAGGTAATAGGAAATAGAACTTTATGAAGAATAAGTTCTGTTAAAGTTCGATATATTAATTGAAAATATTTAAAACATTTTTTTAAGAACAAAGATAACCCTCGATTCACAGTCGCTGTTACGGATCAGTGATAGTATCACGAATTAAGCAGACACGACGATAAAGACCCCCGAATTTTATTATGCTCTCTCGGCTAGAATTGATTGTGATTTCGCGATAATCCATTGTATGTAGATTTTGTTAAAATAGTATATTATAATAATTATTTGATAATTTACAAATTTTATTTATATTTTTTAAATGCAAAAAACTTCGTAAAATAAAAATCATGCATAAAATTAAATTTTGACATTTTATCTGCGAAACAGTACGCGTATCAATTTTTTCGCCAATATTACGCACGTGTTCCAAGATATCTCGAAATTAATATACAGATCGTATGTATAATTATGTACAGAGCTCGGCTCAGCTGATGCCAACTGTAAAATATATTGCCGTTTATAAATTGAAATAAAACTCCAGAATCCTAAGATAATTACCTCGATTTGGTAGACATTAATTTTACCTGCGCCGGTATAATTCGAGCTGTCAAAACAAGTAAGAGATGTTGAGAATGCGAATGAATTCCGATCGCCGTGTGTTGGCGATACATATATATATATATATACGGAAAGCGGAAACGCTCGTAACTTGCGACGGTTCGTTGCGTTTAGCTTTATCTGCCGTGCTTATCCCGTACTTCGCTGCGGTTCGTAGTGTGTGGCATATTAAGTTGCTTTCCTGAAACTGCGTATAAACAAGATAGAAGTGCGATCCTCCGTATACCGCTTTTAGTGTATCTACGTGACCTAGCATAATATAATGACCGCGTGCACGGACCTGGCAACCTGAAGATTTATAATAGATCAATTGCACAATATTTACTAGTATATCTTCTTTTTAAAGCTCCTCAAGTCTAATTAATTAAGTCCAACATTGCAAAAATAGATGGACACTGAAATGTGATTTTTCAATGAATTTTGTTTTCCATTTAATTTTTAATCAGCGATGTATATTGAATTTTCGAGAATGTTAAATAATGAACAGCAAAAGTTAACGTATGCTAAAATGTATACAATCTTATTAGTGACTCCAGCAAATTATAATACGTCTCTTTATACATATATTTTGCGCTTAAAGTGTGTTAAGAATTTAGCAAAAATTTTGGGGAACTTAGCGCTTACTTCGCGAGGCGTAAGGAATGGGGGAGATAATTAATACGATTAATAATTAGCTAGTAATATAGGAGGAATGATTGAGTCCTTGCGCACACACCAATACCATTACAATCCCACATATTGCATTAAGAGAACTGCGAGAGACAGAGAAGGCGCGCGTCCTTCAATGAAATCGTCTGCCCTCGAACTCAAGATGGCGACAATCTCGGTGACCTCGACGGTGTCAAGGTCATTGAGACCGCTGCCATCCTCTCCGGAGAGAAGAGAGAGTCGTCGTTAAGATTATTGTTACGCGATGGCCGATATAAAATTAGCTACAATTAAATAGGGTCGGTATATTAGATAACACGCAAGAGAAAACTGATCGATCGCATAGCGTTTACGATTATTTCGTGCCGTTAGTCCGCGGTAGGCTCTGCTGATAAAGTATGTTAAACATTGATATATCGAGGGAATTGCACAAGTTAGACACACAAGTTAGGCGAATTATTTTCATAGCTCGTAGGGCTATGGCACTGCTTGACGTCTCGGTCGCGCGATTAACTCCTACTCGAGAAATCCGAGAATCTTTCCTCACATTTGCATATAAACGTCATGCTGACGTAACAGAGAGACATAAAGTTTGTTAAACGTATATTTCCGATAAAGAACTGTTCTTTGATTTCTTGTAGCTACTATCGATTTTCGTATGTATTATTGCACGATTCTTCTCGTATTTATCAAAGATTTAAGGATGCAGGATTTATTTATTGCAAGTACAAATTTTTGCATAAGTACACATTCATAAAAACTCTTTAGGCTTGAGACGTTTAATAAAATAAATTATTTTTACTTAGTACGTTAATAAAAAATTCCAATACAAAATTGATATAAATTGTGAATATTAATGCGACCTAGAATATTATGAAACAAATCCGGGCAAATCGAAAGAAATTCAAACATAAACGGTTTTAATTAAACATGTTAATAACTCAGAAATCTCTCGCGTCGCGCATTCCTATCTTGATGAAATTAAATATGATCTTTGTTTCGGTAGAATTTCGCACGACCGCGCCGCATAATTTTCCGTGTCGGAGCTGCTTCTTGGAAACGACGTCGAGAGACGAGATCTCTGTGAGAGCGAGACAAGAATCGCGTCGCGAATAATTTCCACAATCTAGGATCGCTCTCTACGGTTGGCCCGTACCTTTTTTTTTTTTTTTTCAAACATAAGACATCGCGAAGCGAAATCTCCCCTGTCGTTCTTTCTCTCTGAACTGATGTCGCGCGTGTCCTTTGATAATGTATAAAATTCTGACCGCGTCTGGTGCGCGAAATCGTAACGAAAGATCGTCCTTGCGAACACGTCGTCTTCGCATTTATCAGATTTGAATTCGGCAAACGGTACCTGGCCCTCACACGCGCGTATATACTGTTAGACGAAACCTGAAGGGTTGGCTCTAACGGAAGATCGACAAATAAGAATACTATAGATTACCTTTAAAAATAAAATTTATACATGAATTTATACAAAAATGATAATATAATTTGTAACAGATCTTTAAAAAATTTTAATCTACAAATAAAAAGGCAATAAGAGCTAATTAAGTTCTATACTAGAATTATATTTGTGAAAAGATTTATAACATAAATTATTAAATATTATACAGAAGTAAATTCGTTTTACTTCTGTATAATATTTAATAATTATGTTATAAATCTTTTCACAAATATAATTCTAGTATAGAACTTAATTAACTCTTATTGCCTTTTTATTTGTAGATTAAAAATGATAATATATAAATACACACGAGAGAAATAAATATTAATACGAATTTTCGGGGCCGAAAAATCAAGCAGCGCCATTTCTCTCGATCTCTCTCGCTCTATATGCAGGATATACGTCGGTATAATTTGTATGGTGTGATATTGCCTGGACTCACCGATCCTCTTCACGTGGACGTCTCGATTGAAGGAGACGCTCCTCTCGGCGGGCTTCCACCCGGAAACGGAAGCCCCGGACCCAACAGGGGGTAGCAAATGCGTGCCGGGAGGGTTGCAGCCTTCTGCCCCTCTCAACGACTCCGAACGTTGTATCGTAAGCATCTTGCCTTTTCGCTTTTTCGCCCGATCATGCCACGCGACCACTAGGCTAGGAACGCGTTTCCCGTTCGTTTCTCCCTCGTGCTTACACTTTTACCAACCCACCCCCGAAACTTACTTTCGCCCTTATCTCCCTTCACATCCGTAGATCTGATCACCGACCTGCAAGCCAAGCAAAGCTGCGCTCTTAAAGTTTCGTCGCGTCTTTCGCGCCAAAAAGAATAATCAAATTAACAGGGGATATAATTTGTAACAGCTCTTTAAAAATTAATATACATATAAAAGGCAATAAGAGCTAATTAAGTTCTGTTATTAATATTTATTTGTGGAAAAAAAATATTTTGATATAAAATATTAGACAAAAAAGTTCGAACGTTTCGGTTGTATTTTTCAACCTTCTTCAGCGCATCATTTAAAATTAGAGATTAATAGAAATTGACAATAAATTATTCATAACTGTCAATATACTAAAACTATACAGAAACAGAGTTATTCGCATAAAACTACGTCGAGATATTATTTTTATAAAAAAACGAAATCAACGCGTTTTTTAAAAGCATGAGCATTTTTATATATTCTATTCCTCGAATCGTCATTTAATGTAATTGTCGCGAAACAGATCTCTCGCTAATTGTTTTGTTAGGAGGTCGGTTGCGAATCTCAATAACAGCAATTGTTAATATGTCTATAAAATCATTATATACGAAAAATTAACATTGAAAGATAAGTAAATTAATGAAAATGGACTTACAGTTAAATCGAGTAAGATGTTATATTGTGACGTGGAGGCTTAACAGATGTCGATAACTCGAGGTAACAATAACGTATGAAAAAGACAACCGAAACGTTCGAATTTTTTTTGTCCAATATTTTATGTTAAAAATTTTTTTTTCCACAAATAAATATTAACAACAGAACTTAATTATTGCCTTTTATATGTATATTAACAGGGGATATTTGAGAATATCGATTGTGCATATAACGAGCACGTTAAACAATATAATTGCAGAAACTGACGGGCTGTAACGAGAGCTCTCTCAAGACTTATTCTACTTTCAAATGAACATCGGCCGTAGCGATTGTTCCTCAGTTGTCATGAGAATGCAATTTATGTACGAGAATACCTATGCGCTTTCTACGTGTATGTAACGCTATTTCTGCGTGTGCACGTAGAATTATGAGAGAGAAAGAGAGAAAGATAAGTGATAGCATCGTGATGTTTCCTCGCGACGTGTCTATACTAGCGCATGCCAACTATATAGGTGGACGATGATAAACAGCGCAACGAGTGATAATGGTTCTCTTTGTTGTCGTGCAGGCAGATGGGATACTCGAGATACGCGCAACGATATAATGACAATGACAGGGATGACGGTGACAGTGCACAATACCGGCAATGAATTTGCCGATGAAAACATAGCTAATAGGAACGATTATATGCGATAAGGCCTCTTCTTCTTCTCGAATCTCTCCCTTATTTTCCTCCTCTTCTATATTCGTATTAAGCATTATCGTAATTACGTCCAGCCGGGACGTAATGTCGCGATTTTCTTATCGACATTACGATCTGAACGCAACGACACCTAATTTAAATTTCATAGAAGCAGTCGCCAACTCGAGGCTACAAGATACGACGTCCGATCTTAATTAATTTTTCAAATGACGCGAATGATTTATAATGTCCTGCCTCGATATTGTTATATTGCGTGGACATTCTGTCTAAATATTATTTTGTATGAAAAAGGATTATATCAGAAAAAATGTTGCCTGATACATTTATATATAACGTTTTATTTAAAAATTTCAAATTTATCAAATTAATAACTATCAGGAATTATAAATTTAACGTATAAGACGGGCAACAAGAGCCAAATCGCGGATGACAATGCGTTATCCTAACGAAACTAAATAATTTTTCGTTAGAATTAAAATACCGGTGCACAAGGCACCAAATTTTTACTTGGACACGGCCAAGATTTTAAATATGAAATAATCTCATATTTTGAGATTTAATTTCAATACCCCTTTAACCCCCCTACGGAAAATAAATAAATGAATGCAAGAGAAAGTGTCCAAGTAAAATTTGGTGCCTTGTGCACCGGTATTTTAATTCTAACGAAAAATTATTTAGTTTCGTTAGGATAACGCATTGTCATCCGCGATTTGGCTCTTGTTGCCCGTCTTATACGTTAAATTTATATTTATATTACAGAGCCTTGTTAAAACTCTTATATCAGGAATTATTTTGTTAATTTTTAATTTAATATGCTCGCTAATTTTTAGTAACTATTCTCCTAAGAATAATTGATTTTATATATTGTGCAGGGTGAAATTTCATCATGATTCGAGAGGTAAAACGTACGCAACGAAACTTGCGAAGCTATATGCATATGAGATATGCATACGAATTTTTTTTCGAAAATAAAAAGGAGGGACGCCAAACATCCCGAATATACCGCTCCATTAACCGCACGCGAAACGTCGTTCGTTTTCGTGAATTTACGTAAATTGATAAAGCAATCAATCCCAGACTTCACGGCGTATAAAAGCAAAAGGATCGGACATGGTCATCCGATATAAAAACGGCTCTAAAAATACCGCTGACGACAGCCACTCGGACGACACAGGCGGAAGCGTAAGGGGACTGATCATTATCGCTTTATTTCATTGGCTGTTTTTCGCGCTATCGTGTAAAAACAACTCTGTTTTTTTCAAGAAGTCGACCTTCGCCGCAATCTTTTTGCTACGCGAGGCGATTTTAACGCGCGCAAAAATCGACGTACTCTATGCTCCAAAATTCATTACAAATTTTAAAAATTCACCTGTACTTCCTAATTTTCTCTGCAATTTTTGTCTTTGAAAACTAGATAATTCAAGAAATTAGTTCGATCTTTTATTAGATATAAAAATTGTAAAGAGCATATTTAAATCGCGATAAAAGAAAATAAAATGATATTCTCTGTTGCGGGAATATCTCTTCGCTTATTAATCACGCTTTACAAATTGTTGACCGCAAAAAGTTTCGCGGATGAATCGCTGGAACGGAAATTAATATTCACAGCGCGCTTTTACCTTCCGATCGCGGTATCTGCCCTTGAAACAAATAAAGGTGACCCCACGCGCATTTATCTCTCAAGGCCATCAGCTGACCGGAGTGACACATCGTCTTGGCGAGTTCTCGCATTCGAATGACACCTGTGGACGGGGTTGCGTCGTCACTCAACGACTTTATTAGCGCGAAGGGAGAAAACGCTAGCTCGAAACGAGACAATTCGCATGAGACCGATCGGAGGATTAAGGTACTCGCGGGAGGCTCGGTAACCATATTTGGCGAACAAGACCTCAGATTCTCTCGTCGTGTTCTCCCTCGGCGGGAATCAGCGCTATAAAAACTGACGTTAATATATTTTTTTTCGGGACGGAAGTTTACAACGGGGTCTTTCTCTCGACTCCTACGTGTCTCCTCTAGTCGCCTAATCGCGCGGAGAAACGCCCGATTCGATCCGGGGTGCAAAAAAAAAAAAAAAAAAAAGAGGAAGGCGACTGGAGCGCAGATCTCTCGGACAGGACCGCGTCTAATGTACGAGAGGATCCCATAATGCGTCCTTCCTTACTCGCCACGGGGCTGGATAACAGTAAAAAAAAGAATAGAAAAAAAACGTCGCTAAGTGCAGCGAGACACGACGCTGCTATATTCTTGGGATTTTAATTCCACCTTGCGCGCATTCTACGTCGAATATTTTTTCTTCCTTACGAGAGTAGTCGGGAATTAAGATAGCTAACGGAGAGAGAGCAAAGAAAGTTGTATCGAGTCGCGAAGACATTATCGCGTCATATTTTTCGCGGCTTTTAAAACATAATCGAGAAAAATAATAGGATTATTTTTTTGCACAAAGTATTACGATCGCGACTGCATTAATAATGTCATGCTATATTTTTCTTTATATAAATTTTATAATTCAACGGATAAATTGATAATAAAAATTGTTTGTATAAGATGCACCAGCTATGCTTCAAACGTAGATGGAAATTAGTCACAAAAGATTTTAATCTCTTACAAATTTTCTTCTGTAAATCTTTACTTGGAGATAAATAAATATAAATAATATATATAATATAAAAATAAAAAACTACGAAAATATATTATATTAGATTTCTGCAAAGCTCGCAATATTATTTAGATTTATATAAAAGAGACATATATTTGTATTATATAATACTTTAGTGTGTAGCATTTTTACTAATTTCTCAAATGTGTATGATATAATAAAGATGAATGCGATGGTTAAATTTGTTTTTTACCGACACACATACGCACGCAATAGGATTCCATAATACATATTATTTGTCATTACCTCATGTTGCATAACAGCAAGCGAGCGAGAATAATAAAAACGTACTCGGGCTTCTCAGAGAATGCGACAACGCTCACGTTGAATTTCGAATTTCGCGATGATTTCACGTCCTCGACGATCCTTAGTCATTAACGGCGAGAGATCGTGACAAAAGCGCGGTCAAATTCTCTTTGGTTCTCTTTCGCGCGTTAGAATCCGAATCCTCACACGAGTGTGGAAAAACAAGAATGGAAGGTCGGGGATATAAAAGAGCGTACAAAGTCACCGGCATCGTCTCTAATATCCTCTAACGGTCCCTCTTTCTCTCTCGCTCCTTGAAATATTTCACATTCGTTACGGGATAATAGTGCGAAAATAATCACAAACGCGCGCCGGCAATAAAAGCAACGCGCTATTCTCTAGGAGTCCTATATACGCGATTCGAACGGAGAGACACGAGAGACGTGTAATAAACACTCCCGTTTTTCGCGCGCGCGCGAAACGTTTAGCACCTTGACTCATTGACTTTTATTGACGGGCGTGAAGGAGCCCGATAATAAAATCAGAGGTAGCGAAGCGCCTATGGACGCGAAGGGCATCCGTCCGGCTCTTCGAGGTGCGAAGGCTCGCGTCTGCAATCGCGATCAAACCGCTATTAGAAAGCTGCTGGCTGGATTATAGAGCACGGAGTGGATCCAAATGGAGCGAGAATCGTAGCCAGTGGTTTATACACGGTGCTCTCGAAGAACTCTCCATGTAGTTTCAGTAGCTTAATAACAGCCTTCAAATCCACGAGATTTCTAGATCACATCTCGCACACTATACTTTTGTTCTGGCATAGGTTTTAAAGAAAAATATATATCATCAAAATCTTTATACATATACATATAATAAAAAGTTTCGATTTTACTTTTAATAATTTCATGCTCGCTCACGTGAAAGCTCGCTCATTATTTTGCGCATATATGTGATCTCTCGCATAGTTTCTTAAAAGATTTTCAGACTCGAATTAGAGACTTTTAATCGACAACGAAATTATTAATAATTAATTTCTGATAATGTTTCTTAATTATTTGATTATTAAGTTAACATTTTGCTATATATATAATTAAAAATTATCTCTCGCACGATACACGTCGTGCATTTATATAAATTAAAATTATCTCTTCCGTCCTCTGAATTTCTGGGTCTTGGGACGTGTTCGTTCGCGAAAACAAGTTAACGAGACTCGTTTTTTTTCGTTACTTCTTACGTGGCGGTGCATTTTACAGTTAATATTGCCAGACCGATAAATTTACGCAAACGTCGTATAGCGTGACTGAAAAAAAAAATACGTCGGTCCCGACCGGACGCTCGTTACACGGCAGCGTTTCCGTGTACGTACGATTCCCGCGTTATTTTTCTCGAGCAGCTCACGCAAAGCTCGAGAAACCTTTCGTTTCTAGCCGTCACCCGTTACGCCGTAAGCAGTCGGCGGAATCGACGATAGGCCGAGGAAAGATTTTAATTTAGATCGCGCTGGTGCAAAAGCCAGGAGGATCCTTCGCGCGCGCTTATAAAATATTTCTGCTCTTCCCACTCTACGTGGATTCGCCTACGAACTTCATATCTCGAAAAGATAGAGGCTCCTACTCTTAGTCGGGACGCGAATTCCCGCGTTTACACACTTGATATATACAGTTTGTAAATCGTATCTCGGGCGCACCCAGCTCTTTGTAACATTGTAATACTTCGGGTCGTTCATCCCACGATCGCGAAACTCATTGCAGATTTTTAGTTGCTCTATATTTTTTTCACGCTTTCACTCGCGCATATGTTCTTCGGCAAAAAAAAAGGCTACCTGATTAGAGTGAATATAAAATTTCAGATATGAGTCTATATTAAATGTATCTGTTTTTTACGCCAGGACATCCTCGATTATCATAAAACAAGCTTCCAGCATTTGCAGCACTTCATCATGGCATTAAAAATGTTTACGAGTTAACGAATTCATAATCACCTTTGCTGTTTCGGTTGTTTGAAAAGCTGGATGAAATTATCATAAATTACTGACAGAAACAGAAAGAATTATCTGTATAAAGTTTCATCACGAACGTCGTAAACATGACTATCCTATCGTGATTCGGTGGAAGAGTAGTGACTGTGACTTCTTCGTGATTCCTCAAAAGCTATAATTATCCGTGTTAAATAACTCTGCAATTTTAAAGTTCGTGCCACACGTAAATCTTTCCAAACGATCCCTGTAATAATCAAATCAATATAAAATTGATTTGTGTACATTCGAACTCTAAGAAAAAAAAATAATAAATATCATCTGAACGAGTCTAGTCAATACAAGGAAATATGACTCAAAAGATACAGCGAGCATGACGCGGATCCAGAAATGGACATGGAAATGAGAAAAGTCGCACTCGCGAAAAAATAACCGAGACGCGAGAGATTGCTTGATTTGCATCGCGCATTCCTCCGTCATCTCGATTATGCGAGTGAGCTATTATTCCGGAGAAATCTGGACGCGAAGGGTCACGTTACGCGGATGCATTATGGTGAATGGAACCAACGGTGATTCTCATCGAAAGCGGTCTTTCTCTTTCTCTCTTTTTCTCTTAGCCCGCGCGCGCGCGCGCGAGTAACACTGACACACTTTGTACACGTCAAGGCCGAAAGTTCCTCCCGGTGCTTATCGTTGCACCGTCTTTCGCGTGTATTCGTCTTCTTGAAACCCTTACGTCTCTATCACGGTGCTTACACGCGACGCACGTCCGCCCGCCGCACGCCTGAAACGTGCGATAAAACCGTATCGGAGATTCAGCGAGGGGATTTGCACCTCGGGCTGATGGGCGCGATCTTCATCTCGTGAGTGCGGACAGGCGAGAGGGCGAGAGAAAAACAGGAGAAAAGGAGCAATCGACCTCTGCGCATCGAGTCTATTTAGGATGAACGATGCTTGATAGGATGTGTCATGCGCGCGCCTAACATTACATATTCATTTTTACAAATAAGATTAAAACGTCTTTAAATGAGTATTATTTTCACACATATTAAAAGAGAAAAATATATTTTCACGGTTTATCATTTTTTGGGATTTTTTGAAAAATCTATCGATATAATTGATTGAATCGTTATTATAAGTCGTGGAATTTTATTTTCGTAATTAGGAGCCTCGTATCAAGTTTTTTTACAAAATAAACTGTTGAAGAAGCTGTTACCAGCAAATAAATGCAGTAGTACGTAATGTTTTCTGTATGTTATGCTTATTAAAAAAAAAAAAAAAAAAAAACATTCATCCGATACACATGACAGATCCGGCGATTTAGAGGCGCGTTAACTCGACTTGTCGCGATCGTAAATCTCTCGGCGTATTAATTCGAAAGACTCGGTCTGATCGAGTGATCCTCGAGGACAGACTCGAGCGCTGTCACGCACATACATAACATACAAGTGTCGGGCGACATTTCCATAAATGTTTATTCCCGCTCCAATCCGCGTCGGCGCATCGTTAATGCGACCGCGTCAATGAATAATACGTGTTCCTTTCTTCGATATTCTATTCGTCCTTCTCTCTTCCCTCGAGAAGAAAGAGAGGAGAATCCCTCTCTAGTATTACATCGCGCTCGTTCTTCGGAGCGAGCGAGGAACTCGCGCGTATGATCGGCCGACTCGATCTCGGAACCGGGCAGATTAAACGCCTAGATTCGCGCTCGCGCGCGCATCGCGAGAGAGGCCTCTAGCTGCACATCGATGATTAAAGTGTCCGTTAACGCGAGTTAATTGATCTTTCAGTTAATGGGATATTACCCTTCCGCTGCTTCGCCGAGCGAGAGTGCGGCCGGCAGATCCAATCTGCGCGCGAAATAACTCGCGCGCTCTCGCTCTCGCGGAGGACTCTCTATAATCTATTCGCGAACACACTCACAATCAGTAGAATCCCTACCTATCTATCTACCCAACCTACCGAAGGTGGCTTCACCACCGTTTCCCTTTCGATCCCAACATTCGCGGGAAGAATCGAATATCCGCCGGATATCGATTTCTCGTCAGCGAGTCGTCATCGTCATCATTATTTCGATGTTAGATTCCGTCCCTATTTATCTATTAGATTTACCTTTAATGACACAGTAGCATTCCGATCGTTTAGATATCCGGTACTCTCCCCTAAGGCTTACACCCCTTCAGGTACGATCGGTTCCCCGAGCGGAATCGGAAGAGAGAGAGAGAGAGAGAGAAGAAGAAGGAAGATTCTGTCTCTCCTTTTTGGAGAGATTTCGTGGTATTATTCGAACTTAAACACTCTCACCTTCGGCAACTGTCACTATTCACCGACCCGTCAATCGATGAGATTGATTCGAGGGATTAATCACCAATCAGCATCGATCAATTATCGCATTGTGATCTCTATACTTTGTCGTTATCTAACATCCAAGATGTAACAAGATTTAACACCGGCAATTCAATCCTCTAAATTGTCTTGCACTGACATATATATATATATATATATCGAAAATCACTCGATATTACGCGATATCCCTCGCGATAACTCGCTCTTATCGAGCACCTTGTCGTTGATAACACCGCTGTTGATCGTACCTCCGAGGATTCGTAAGAGACTGCGTGTCTCGGAGCTACAGGGGGTTGACTCGGGGTGAATCAGGGGCCCGAACCAGAGGGGCACAAACCGCCGTCGCACCACGCACACGCCGTTCGTTTTCCGTTCGTTCTCCGCCGAGCGCCGAAGAACTAATAAAACCTGGGACCCAGGTTGAAACTGCGTAGGCCGCTTACTACTCCTTCCACCGCGGCAGACCGTCCTATCCCACCGGGCCCGAGAGCACCGACAGAGACAGGCAGGAGAGTAGGTACGGACGGACACAGCACGGACGTACAGAGTGATTTCAAGGAGTACACACATCGGGAAGCGCGACTGGTGGTAGGTAAATAGTAATAGTTCTCGGACCAATTCTTGGAGCAGTTCATTTCATCGGTTAGATAAATATTAGACGATTTAATCGGTTAATTACAAATTATTTCATGATGTTTTATGTAGTTTTAATTAACGTAGTTTATTATTATTATTTTTAATTAGAAAAATTGTAGGATCTGTATATTAGACGATTTAATCGACTAATATAATTTATAATTATATTAGCTGATTAAATCATCTAATTTTTATATAGATAGTATAACTGCTAAATGAACATGTATCTTGTCAGATATTGTATGACTATTAGGGAAGCGCGACTGGTGGTAGGTAAATAGTAATAGTTCTCGGACCAATTCTTGGAGCAGTTCATTTCATCGGTTAGATAAATATTAGACGATTTAATCGATTAATTACTGTAATTTATTATTATAATTTTTAATTAGAAAATGGTAAGATCTGCATATTAGACGATTTAATCAACTAATATAAATGTATAATTATATTAAGCTGATTGAATTGAATTTTTATGTAGATATAGTGTAACTGCTAAATGAAAATACATCTTGTCATATATTGTATGACTATTATATATGTTTAAGTTTACATTTTCAAATCTAAAATCGTCAAAGAGTATATTAAAAAGAATTGTTGGCTTAGATTTTTGGAATTGTAAACAGAGCGTTAATTATAATTTTTAGAATTTTTTAACAGAATTTCTCCTAGATTAAAAGACTAGACGACAAATGACAATTAAAGAAACTGCGAATAGAATAAATATCTTTTATTTTAAATTAGCCTTAGAATTTTTTAAATTAGAATAAAAAACAAAGCTGAAATAAAATCTTTACTAATAACTAAGCTGTAATAAATTATTTTATAACATAGGAAATAAATAAAAAAATTACTTTTATATTATTACGTTTATAGAGTAAATCATCTCGAAAGAGACGTCTATTTTAAAAATCTTAATCTCATTACTCATCTCGTAAAAAATTTCAGTATCGCACGCGTAATGTATTTAAATATGTCTGTAATAAATACTGATATTCATATTGTAAAATTTTGCTCGATACGTCTAAAAAGATTCGATAATCCTAAGATATTTCCGCTTGATTGACGTTTCTGTCAAAAATTTGATGTCTTGATTTATATTGATCGACGATGAAAAATATATCGAGTATCGAATGTCGATTATTTAATACCCTGGCGCAAAGTATATCAGTGTCATCGCTAAGATCCACCTCTGGTCACTCCAACTGACCGCTATTTTCTGCAAGCTCCTCTTTTTTTCCTACCTGTCAGTTGTAATCTGTATATTGTAAGACTCTACTCGACACCGCATTCAAGACGGTTCGATGACTCGATCCATTCGCGATATTCTCGCTTCATTAATATTTTGGTGAAAAAGTTGATGTCGATTGATGTTGACTGATGAGGAAAGATACACGATGTCAAACGTTCGATACTTTGCGCAAACATATCGGTGTCGTCACTAGCGACCGGGTCCAGCCAGCACTGTTGCTTCTGCAAGTCGTCTCTCTCTCTTTAGCTCTCTCTTTCTTCTCGGAGAGACCACTCTTCCCTACCTGCCTGTCTCTACCTACCTGCGCGATTGCAGACTGCCGCTGGTGAACGTCACTCGGTCAAGGTCCCCCACCAAAAACCTGCAACAGCGCTGGCTATCGCCGACGCTCGTCGCTTCGTCCTGCCACGGTCGACTTGGTCCACGGACAATGCTATACTTGGTGTGAACTGGCGATCGCGCGAAGCTGTTCAGGCGAGGGTGAGACTGTCCTCGATGGCGCTTTCGCTCGACACGACACTGACTGAACAGAGATGTGGACCTCGAATCGGCCTCGAATGTATTCATCGCGCTAAATACGGGGCTGTCTGGTTCTTCACTTTGAGTGCGATTCTTTTCGGATCAAAAGATAGAGACATCATGTATTGGAATAAATTGTAGCAAAATATATGTAATCTCGAAATTACGGATACATCTTCACATATTTGACATATTCAAGATTGAATACCGTAATCAATAAATGACGTTGCTCTGTGCTCGATTCGCTGTAAGTATGATATCTTCCGTATTCGAGATAAATGAGGATTACAGTGATAAAACCGAGATACGAAAATACCAAGTATATAAAAATATTCATATCTGGAGCAACGTGAAAAAAGTTCCTTTTTTTGAATAAAATACGCGCGCAAAAAAAGACTCCGTCGACGTTACTCGCTTGTGGTTCACCAGTTTCTACAGTATGTTACAAATAGTTAGGGGAGTAAATGTCTCTAGTCTCTATCTCTTTCTCTCGGCCAAGCGCAGACTCGCGATCATACGTCGACGATCGGCTCTCTCGTCCGGATCGGACGGTAGCATGCCCCGATAATAACAGGATACTTTACGATCGATTTGGCGGATAAGCGTGTTTACGTTAGAGATCTCGGCCTCGGACTTTATACGGGGCCCCGTGCGGCGTATCGGCGCGCGGCGTTGAGATGATACGCGGCGTTTCAGCGAATATGACTATAAATAAAGAAAATAACGAGAGGAGGGCTACTGGGGGCTGAGAGCAGCAGACACGCAGCAGGCGGGTTACCGAGAGAAAATTGTGCGCCACTAAATATAAGTATCAAGGAGAGGTATATATCGGTGTGCAGTAGAACAGACAGAGTACAATTACACGTGATTGAGGATCGGTCTTGTTTCTATTTTGCTTGATTTCTGTGGGTAGTTAGCCCTGATCCCAGTGTGGCAGCCCCAATCACAATGATTCTCTCCCTCTCTCTCTCTCTCTCTCCTTCTTTCTTACCGAGGTACAGCCCTATTATGATTGGCGTAATCATCGCATGGGCGAATCAACGGCACTCACTCTCGGCTACATAAATAATTGAGCCTTAAAGTCGGCCTACGTGCCGCGGATCTAGCTGATGAGGGGTGGACGGACGGATGGACGGTGCTCCACATTGTACATGCCGCCACTAAGAGGAGAGTTATTGCATAGCATGATGATGGGGCAGCAAGGCGGATCGTTAAGATGCGCACCCTCGATGCAGCAGCATTCGTCCCCCGGAAAAATGCGTTTATGCAAAGCGCCGGTCTAATAAATGTCCCCGGGTTACTACTCAATCAACGCTGCCGGGCTTATCGAGTTACACGGATTACGTACGTTACAATACTTTGATTGATTCCTTCCGCGACACTCGCCCTAGATGATTTACATATGCAAAAAGCGTAATGTGTCACGACGCATAATGTAACAAGATTCGAAGCTCGGATGCTGCATAATTTTGATACTCCGTCCGTTAACTTTCTTATTTCAAGTCTTTGACTTTTGTTATTTTTAGAGATCATTGTTTTGTTCAATCTTGATTAAACCAAAATTAGCGGCAAATCGAATTTTTATCATTAGCTTTTGAATGGTAAACCGATTGAATTTTTGCAAATATATTAATGCGTCTTAATATTATTTAATTGTTGATATAAAACTATGAAGTCACCAGATGATAATTAAAAAATGGTAATAATTCAATCGACCAATTCTGGCACATAATTAAATTTATTGAATTTTCACAACGTTTCGGCCGTGGGTTTCGGCCCTTATCAAGTGCTATGTTCTTAAATCAAAGTAAATCACAACTTTTTTTAAAAAACAAAAATTCGATCTTAAAATATGACATCATATAATAACATGATAGTATAAAACGAAATAACTATGATATATTATTTAATTGTATTCAAATACTTTTGATATTTATGCGAAATTTATAATACTTCGAAAACTGAATAAGACCTTGCAACATCAAGAATAGTGCAACCGGATCGCTCGAGCGCGTTTCCAGGTCGGCGAATGAAGATCGGCGACGTATATACGTAGACGCCGCGAGATCAAAAGATTCTAACCGCGGGATGGCGTGATTGCACCTGATCGGCGCGGCAGTGACGAGGGAATGTCCGCGTGTTCGCATGATTTACGATCGACGCTCGGCGATTTCTAGCGGAGAAGCGAACTCACGGGTCAGGAGATTTCCCTTCCGCGGTGGACCTGGTGAGCTTGGTTCTCACACCGTGATTGGCGTGCGTAAATGGGTGACGACTAGACGGACTTGGGTGGAAGCCACGGGATTTTCGAGATGATGATAATGATGATGATGGCGATAATGATGATGACGACGACGACAACGACGACGACAACGGCGATGATGATGATGATGATAATGACTAAAATGAAAGAGCATTCAAGGCTGAGTGCGACGCCATCCTTTTCTCTCTCTCTCTCTCTCTTTCTCCATCTCGATTTGGAACGTGCCGGCCTTGAACTTGCCGCCGTGCTAATGAAGAGCGCCAACGAAGGTCCTTTGCTCACGGTGGACAGCCGCCGCGGTCTAACTAGTCGCTATCTGATGCTGGCGAGCCACGGCGAAAGGGGCGACGGGTTTCGATGAAGAAATTATTTTCACTTTCTCCGTCAACCGCGAGTGTAAGTCAGCGCACGTGTACGCTCTCGAAACTCAGCCTCCTCTCTCGGCCGGAGTTAATTACGACGTTGAGTCGCTCTGCCGTGTTGTAACAAATGGCGCAACGAAAGAAATCGAGCACAGATGGAAAATGGCACTTTCGTTTTCACGGACGCCACCAACAAAGTCGGTTGTTCTAAATATTATTTCTTTCTTATTAAGATACTTTTAACTTATAAAAAAATAATTGATGAAAATGTAAAATGTGACATT